CCACCGCCTTCCGCTGCGTGCTCAGGGCCCTGGAAGGGGCTGTGCTCGCCCAGGTACGGGACGGGGCCCCCTCTGCCTGCCCCCCCCCCCGCTGCACCGCCGGGACCCGCTCTCTGTGGGCTGGGGGGTTTCAAAACCAGGTTCCCTGTCCTGGGGAGAGCTGTGCATAACCCAGGAGCACAGACCGGAGCAGTGTCCTCAGTGTGTTTCCCCTGCAAACCTGACTTAGCTTTCAATTAGTTTGTAATTTAATTTTTAAATTTTTAATTTAGGCAAGCGTTCGTTTTAAAGGTAAATTTGTTTTGGTAGCACTTGAAAAGTCTGCTGCTCCTTTATTATCTACTCAGCTTTCCCAGTGTTGTGTTGCTGGTTTCAGCCTCTGGCTTCCAGGCAGGTTCTCCAGCAACACACGGAGCTGCCGCCACCTGCCTGCTTTGGGCCTCGGTTAGAGAAGGGAACCACTTGTCCTCTTGCTGAAGTGTTTGCTGCAGTCTGGGGGTGCTGAGCCGGTGTGTCCCCGGGCGGGGGGGACATCTCCTCACGTTTTCCCCCCCGCCGCGCACCGCCGCACCCCGCCAGGGCAGCTTTCAACGAGGTAGGGTCCGTGGGTGGGCAGGGGGGTGGGCCGGGTCCGGGGCAGCCCCCTGGGGCGTGGGAACCAAGCCCAGGGTTGGAGGTTGTCGTGGAAAAAGCTGGGGGTGCTCGTGTGCAGCTGGAGCTGCTCCCGCGGGGGTTGGTTCGCTCCGTCGGTGCTTCCTCATCCCCTGCCCAGCGCGTCCCGCGCACTGCCTGGTTACTGACGTTTCCCACACGGGGAAACATCGGGGTTTTGGGTTCTGTCTGCGGCGGCTCGGGGCGCGGCGTGTTGTGCCGGGAGCCGGCGGCAGGGAGCGGTGTTTGTGCAGGAGTGGGAAGGCAGGGAGGAGCCGCCGCTCCCTCCGGCACAGCCTCACCTCAACTAAACGCACCCAGGGCCTCACCCAGCCTGGGTGACAGCAGAGATGTCATGTTTTCTAATTCATTACTTGCTCCTTGTGCTGCAGATGACGTGGCCCAGATTAGTGCCGTGCTCCGTCGTTTATTTAACTCGGTGGTGATAACTCAGTGGCGTTGACCTGTGTGTTTGTTTTAATTGCTGCCTGACCCTGCTTATTTGAGGGGGAATGGGATGGGGACCTCAGGCCTTCAGCAGGTCGGGGTGACCCTGCTGGCAAGATTCACCCAGCCTTATCCTCAGGGTTTGGGGGAGAGGAACATGCAACGACCCCCCCTGTTCGTGGTCGTGGAGGGAACGTTGGGCTCGGTTTCACAAGGGCTTTGAGGGCTCTGCCTTTGCAAGGTGTCAGCCTGCAGCCAGTGGTTGGTATTTCAGCATTTTGCAATAAAAGATAATAGAATAACGATTTATTTCCCTGGGCTGGTGTGGTAATGTCTCTCTCTGTTATCCCTTCATGACAGCCTGTGATTACAGTAAACGTTTTCCCTGGGACACTGCAGTAATGAGTTTTTAATAGAAAGATTAACCTGGCTTTAAATCCTGTCCTGGGGAGGTGACCTGCATCCTGTCCCCTCCTGTCCTCAGGTCTAGGCCACCCCCAGCTCCCCTCCCTGCAGCAGGAGGGTTTCCAGCTCCTTTGGCTTCCCCAGCACAGGGCTCACCATGATGCTGAAACCCTGCTGTTATGGGGTCTTCAGCCTGCCAGGTACTCTGGAAAATGGGTTTTTGTGACAGAAAGTTAAACAAAAAAAAGTTAAGGATGTATGAGAGTTAAGGAGATTGATGTTTCCAAGCAGTGCTGGAGGTTTGCCTTGAGCCACAGTCTGGAATTTTTAATGGATTTTCTGGTTGTGCTGCTGGCTTGTCCAGATGCAACAGGTAGGGCTCTGCCTGCAGCTGCAGCTCTGGAATCCTCTTTCTCCCATCTTAGACTGTTTACTTCCACACCTCCTTGAACCACACTGGCATTGCTGCTGTCGTGGAAGTGGTTGTGACAGCTGGGAATGGGGATGGGAGCTCTCAGCACCTCTCCTGTGGCTTTGGGCTCATCCCCCTCTTTGCCAGCGGATCAGAGGCGACAGACCCAGCTGCCGAGGACAGAACGTAGGTCCCCCCTGCTGTGTGATGGGGCACCCTGGGACTTGGGGAAGCAATGTGGATGGCTGCTGGGGGGAAAAAAGGGTGGTCCTGGGGCAGAAACAAAGCCAGTGTTTGGAAACCTGGAATTCTGACTTGCTGAGGAAGCAGCGATGGGTTTGTTAGGGAAGCTGGTCCTCTCCCTGAAGGACAGGGGCTTTGTAGGATGGGCCTTTCTCTCTTGGGCAGAGGCCTTGTGGAAGATGAAGATGTGCTTCGGACTGGGTGTACTGACTGCTGCTTGTGCTCTTTGCTCTCAGACTGAAGTTGTACCATGGGACACCCCGTGCCCTGCTGCACCCACGCTTCCAGGACCCCATGGAAAGTAAGCAGCAGCAGCAGGGCCTGGTTTTGCTCCTTGCTTGGCCGCCTCTGATCCCATGGATGTCATGTGTCTGGTTGATGTGATCCATGGCCTGGACAGTGCTAAGCAAACCTGCTTTACTGCCAGCCAGGAAAAAAACAGGTTTTCCTTTGCTCCCAGCATGTGTGCTCCTGGCTAATGACTTCTTCAACACCAGTGCTGTTTGGGTTATTCCAAGTTGTTTTATCTTCTTCAGAGAACAAATACCTGACGGTGATGGAGAAGAGCCACCTGCAGTACTCCCTAAAGCCTCACCAGCCCTTGGAGATGATATTTCACCTCCTTCCTGAAAACCTCCTGGTGTCTGGGCAGCAGAACATTCCCGGCGTGCTGCCGGCGTGCGGAGATGCAAGTAAGGACTGCTCCTCTTTCCCTGCTGCCCGGCCCCTCCTGCTGAAGGCAGCAACTCCCTGGGGAGGCTGTGGGCAGGGCACTGACCTGGGCTTTCAGGGCACTCCTCTGCACAAGGATCTTACCTTGGTCATGCCACTGGGGCTGCAGCCCTTGCATCCATAACTCATCCTGAAATGTGTCAAAATGGCTTTGTTCTGTTCTTCTCCCGTTAATTGCTTTGCTCCTGGGAAACTGCGAGGGAGAAATGATGGTTGCTTTAATTATAGTTGGCAGAGTCTTCAGAGAAGCCCTTGCAGCTTGTTTAAAGTCCTCCTTGGTGGCAGAGCTTGGGGTTGCTAGGGGCCTGGCAGGTTCAGGGGGACAAGCTCTTGTATGCTCAGCCCTGGTTAATCTCTCCCTGTGGGAAGCAGCCTTGCTCTTCCAGGTCCTGTGATTAAAATTATGTGATCTGAAGATTCAGAGGGTGAAAAGTACTCTCAGTTCTGCAGCTGAGTTATTATTTTTTAACCGAATTGCATCCACTGACACTGAAGGCATTGGGTATTCCCAGGTCTCTCCAGGGCATAAAGACACGTGTACCAGGGAAGCCGGGGATCCCACCCACAGCCACAACTGCTCCCTGTGCTGCTCCTGGCTGCAGGTTCCCCTGTGGTCCTTGTGGTGTTCCCCCAGCCATGGCATGACCTGTGCCCATCACCTTGCCTCTTCAGGTGACTGCTTGCAGAAACCTCGGCTGCTGCAGCCAGTCACCTGCTATCTGGAGAGGCTGTCCATCCGGCTGCACCCTTCCCTGGAGGAATTTGAGGAAGAGCTGCTGGACCTACTGAACAGCGATCGCTTACTTAAGGTAGTGCCACTGCAGTTATGGCT